ATTTTTTTCAGTTTATTTACTTTCAATTGTAAAATCTGTTTCCAAGTGATGCCACTAATTCATCTTTGGAACTTGGTTCCAAACACCAGCAGAGCTCATCCCATGATTAGTCAACATGACTTACACCAGGACCACACATGTCAGAGGTGAATAGTTTTTCGGTTTTTTTTTTAATGGAGCATCCCACTTTTCTTCCTGCAATTAATTTAACAAACAATTTTAAATTTCAAAAAGTTTGGAAAAAAAATGGTTTTTTTGGTAATATCAAACTGAAGTTTGATTGTTATAAGCATTGAAAAGGTTTACCAAATATTGCCATTCTTAATATTTTGGCTCAAGATCTTGCCATGAAATAGTTCAGTCTCTTGAAGCTCTTTCTCACCCAGCAGAGAGGGCAATTCATATAAGTCCATCTCTTTCTTTCTGACTGATTTGTCCAAGCCCCCACAGTAGTATAGAGCAAAGAGAAGTCAATTAGCATTATTACCAGTGAGTGTTCTGCTGATAGTTTTAAGATTATTTCCTTTCATGTCCCATACCATTAATTTGATAAAATTTAATAAAATTTCATTTGAATTTGCATGTGGCCTGGTTTACTTGTTAATTAGAATTTGAAGAATATTATTGAAATGACAGTACAAATCTGTATATTTCATTTGCTTAAGGCTTTAAAAGAAATTCTTTTGTCCTGTTTGGATTTGCCATCTTCAGAAACCTTTGCACGAAAACTAGCATTTGAGGTTTCTTAATATTTCAGTTGGCCCTACCAGGTACACTAAAATAACATTATTTCCTCTGAGATAAAACAAGCTGACTTAGGCTTTGAAAAATTGTTTCCTTGGCTCAGGAAATGGGGAAAATGCTTAGGAAAATTTTCAAGAACTATCTGGCTTTAAAAGTAGATCAAAGTCTAAATATTTGTTTCACAGACAATACTGAAACAATTATTTAAATTACGAAGAGTGCACATGTACTGACTTCGTTCAAACTCGAATTCAAACTTTTCATCCATCTACACTACAGTAGCACATTTTCCTTAGGAATGGCATCTTGGGAAAGGCCTGTACAACATGAAAAGGAAAAGGTTTACATTTTCTAAAATCCCCTAATCCTGCCTTTTTGCAGTCTCTCCATAAATTGTTACCTTTTTCCTGAAGGGATAAAAAGCTCAGTGGTTTCTTCAGTTCCTGGGGCAAACTACAGCTATGGAACAGCTTAAATCCCAAACAAACCAACCAAAACCCCAGAAACACAGAAAACTACCATTCTTCATCACAAATTCAAAGAATAACAAAATCTATCAGTAAACATGGATGAGGACCATATCAATGGGCTACGGATGGATTCACAGGAGGAAGGAGGACTGGATGTAATACCGACATGTCTTTAGCAGCTAATATCATGTATAATTACAGCACAGTGCTGAGCACCTGAAAGAAATCTGAGAGAGGAGGGGTGAAAAAAGCAGTTATGGGATGATGATCCATTATTTAGAAACTGATGCCTTAGGAACATACACTCACTTTCATCTTAAAACCAGACAAAGCGTTTCAGAACGGGTAAGACTTAACAGAATTGTTTCTTTTGCCAAAAGGCCCAAGAAAAGTCAACTCTGTCTCTTGCGTGGGTTGGCTGCAAGGCAGGATGCAGCCAGGCAGGACACATTCACCTCCCTCCACTCTGGCTCATACAAGCTCCAGCAAAAAATAATAGATGTTGCAGGAAGGCTGTGACTTTCTGCCTTTTTATTGCCTTTCTGCTGTGGCCCGCTGGCAGCAAGGACAGCCAGCCATGCTGGGCTTCACTGGGAAAGGCTCCCAGCATGGCTGGAACTGGATCCATGGAGAAGGGGAGCGTGTGAACCCCAGGCACCCCATGCTGCAGACCAGACCTCCAGATGTTGGAAGAGCCGCGTCTCCCGCTTGGCGAAGGATGGAGGAGGCGACGAGGGTGGTGATCCTGCCGTCGGGAACTGCTCTGCTCTGCAGAGCTGGCAGGAGATGAGAGGTACGTTGTGCTCTGCAAAGAGCTGCAGCAACTTCCTCCAGAGCAACAGGGAGCTGAGCAAAGGGCGGCTGTACTGTAAATCACAGCTCCAAGGCTTCCACAGGTGAGGCACAGCTGGGCAGGGCTCTGCACACCGGGATGGAGCAGCCCGGATCTGGTCCAGCCCATCGCTGTGCTCTGGATCCAGACCTTTCATTTTTCTGGCTCTGTGTGAGGGGGATCTATCACCTTCCTGCTGGATTTCTTTTGAGACATAAAGCAAGCTCTGGGACAACACCCAGAAGTGGATTAATTGTTTTATTCTGCCTTCCCAAACAAGGTTCGAGCGTTTCCGGGATCAGCCGCGCTCCTTGCACGCACATGAGCTGTTCTGGCAGGGGCGCCTCAGCCCAATTTAGTTTGAGTGACAAAAGTTAATTTTATTGATGCACAGCCTTCTGTGATGCTAGGTAGGAGGTCCGACGATGCAAATCAAAATGCTTCTCCCAAAATATCCCAGTGATTGATAATGAGGCAGTGATGCAGATTTTTGACACTTTTGATCCTACCACAAGCAAATGCTAAATTTAGACCCAAGAATTTAAAAAGCTAATGCCACGTTGCTTTAAAAGTGATCAGTGAAAGATATACATAGTTTAACAAAGTCCAATGTTATTCAATGAAGATTTATTTTTTTAATGCCAAAACAAAGCTGTAATAAGAAAGGTTTCAGAAATAAAGGGGGGAAAATTATCTTGAAACAAACATACGTATTGAAACCTGTCAAATATGCTATTCAAGTTTAATTTCACTTCTAGTGGAAAGGTTATATATTGTACTTTGATTTCACTACCATATATCTACATACATATGTGTGTCAACTCTTCTGTAAGGTATATAAGGGACATATCCAGACGCATTTGAACAAGGAAGATGACTGACATTTACAAGAAAAGCCTTTATTATATGTCTATATTTTGTTTCATTAATCATGCATGTTCATTAACCAATCATGGTAATTTATTATGCACTGTTTCAAGACATGTTGCATTACAATGGTGTCATTGTCACTTTGATCATCTAAAGATCTCACAGGATGACATTTCCAACCAGAGGACCTGGCTCCTCTGTACGTGCTGCATGAATATGTACTAGAGACTCAGAAGTGTTAAAAAAAAAAAAAAAAAAGGAAAAAATCAGCAACAAACCTGCAGTGCAACAGTGTTTGCAAGATACAGAAATTAATTATGTAGCTCAAAGATAACAACCCACAAATTAGGTAGAAATATTCAGGTGAAGTGATTTGCACATGATTTTAATAGTGGATAAGCACCAAAAGGAGATGGTATTAATTTTGTCATGTAATATTTGATCATTAAGTGTTTTGTTAGGTTGTATCATGCTCAATCTACACAACAATCTGAAAAACACACTCTTCACAAAACAACCTAAAAATGTTCTCAAAAGTCTGGGCTTTCATCACTACCAGCTCTTGCATTTCTATAGTGAAGAACTAAATATATGTTTACCAAAAGACAGTTAGAGGCACTACTACCATAATGCAGCACTTCCCTTCTCCTCAGTCTGAGGTCACTGAAAGAAATGTTGTGAACCTGAGCAATACACAGAGTCTGATTTTATGGAACCAAGGTTTACAACTTCTTCACTGCTCATTTCTGCCTTCTATTACACCTTTCATAAACCTTTGATTAATATCAAACAGTGAACAACTCTGACAAGCAGGATTACTAATCCAACATAACTGTTTATAGTGTGAATGAAAAAAGTGCTCCATTTCCAGCCACTGCACTTAATAATAAATTCCTGTTGTACTTAAATGTTGAAGGGATTACATAACTGTCAAAGTTCCTTTAAATGTTAAGGGTAGTAATCATATTAAAGACACACTATACAGAAGCGAAAGCAAATGTCAGTTTAGCTATTATTACCATATTTGCATGGAGTTTGGAAATATAGGGCCAGATTCCTAAACACGTCATGTTTGGGCTCGTTGTGGCTGAGCAAAGAGGAAAAGGAACTGCAAACCCACCCCGCCAGTCGTGCTGCAATCCTGTGCCATATAAGGGTCAGAAAAAGGAGCTTCACGTGCCCTAGCACAGCCACGGGGCTGTTCTGGATTCCACCAGCTGAAACAGGACCACCAGGACAATTGTGCCAGAGAGACGGAGGGGAATGCCACGCATTCCTCCTCCCTTGCTCCCTCTTCCGCTGCGCATACTTCACGCGAGGAAGCTGCTGGGTTGGCTCAATACCAGCCCAGGACAATTCTGAAGCACCCACTTAAGACATGCTTATGACAACTGCGACCCTCTTGGGTATCCCTAAGACAGCAAGAGCCAGGAATCTGGTGCAAACAAGATCAAATATGCAGATGGTCTCTGTGCAGTCTTTAGATACCGTTCCTCTGACCTCTGCTATTGGCTTAAACGCATTAAACACTCTGGAGTCAATTAGTAACAAGCAACACTATGAATTGTCCAGAGAAAATTAGCATAAATTAATTAAACTACTAAAAAATGAATTTTTTTTAAAAACCCAAGAGCATAGCAATAAACCCCCCAGTAAACAGTCCTCCAAACCCAGTGAAGACCTAGATCTCAGATTGCACTCTATATTTACCTCCTTCCCTGCATTTGGAATCGTTTGCGGGATTAAAACCTGAGCCTGGCGCCTCCCCACACTACGATTATTGGCAAAGAAACAAATCTTTGACTGTCTCCCAGTACTCTTTTAAAGGACTGGGGTTATTCACGCAGAGCCACACCCCGCATCCAGCAAGACAAGAGGAATGCTTGCCCGTGGAAGTTATGTGCACGCAATGAAACCTTTGTTCCCAAGTTAGAAATGGGACCCCATTATTAGCATTCCTGATATTCATAGCACTGCTGGCGTTCCACAGCACCCAGCAGGGCCCAGCCAGCAGCCCCAAGAAAAAAGAGTCTAACCTTGAGTTTTATGTCATCATGAAATCAGTTAATTTCAGAAGAACTCACCTGCAGTGTCCAGCTGCAGCATTTGCTTTGAGAGAGAGGATTTCAGCCATGGTCTCACCCAAAAGATGAATGCCAGGGATGCCAGTTGGTGCTGATGTCTTGGAAGAGCATCAGAGCTGAAATCCTTCCTCCAGTGCTCCCTGAGTAGTGTTCCTTGGAAGTGCCCCACTGGCACACTGCCTCACCAGCAAGCTTTGCCTTATAATAAATAGAATAATGAAAAGGCAAAGAGGAGCAATGTAATTTATTCACTTCACATCCAGGGATAGTTACAACATATTTGATACCTAAACATTAAGTATTGTCTGGTAACTTACCCAGTGGTGGGTGGAAAGCAGTCTCCCATGGCTCAAGAATCCCTGAGATGTTGAACATTTTCCTCTACAAAATCAAAAATTCGAAACATTTGCCAATAATACACGTGTAAGAATAGAGATGTCTCTGGATAGGGTCTACAGAAGGTCAAATTGCTTTGAAACATCGCCTCTTTTTTTAGGATACATATCACTATGGCAGTGATAAATATTTTGTGAAAAATCTAAATAAAGCAGGCTGGATGTTGCATACTTAGAACGGGTGTCACTAAAGTTGTTGGGTTTTTTTTTTATTCTCCCAAGTGAAATTTCTAGGAAGGATTTTGGCAACTTTGTTAGTGTGGAAATCACCATGGGAAGCGCATTGGCCCCAAGGCGTTTGACGACCTACGACGTGTTCCCTGTCACCACGTCTGGCCCCTCTTCATGTCAGCCTCTTTCTTTACAGGAATTTTGAGGTGGCAGAGGAATTGGTCATGCTCCTATTTCTCAGCATTCTTTTCTGGGAAAAACTATCAAAACAAGCTGCTTTTTACATTATTTTTTTTTAGTTAGCGACTTTTTTTTAATCTCTGTTTTGGTGTTTGTCCACAAACGGAGAAGGAGACATTGTGACTCAGCAGATGGTCACCTTAGATGTTTTCCTTAGGGTTGGACAGGTTAAAAGAGGGAGTCCTACACTCCTTCACTGGATCCTGAGATCCCCCTGGCCCGTTGACATCTACCATCTAATGCCTGATGACAGGACAATGGAGGCTGCATGTTTCAGCTGCATTTCTAACGCTATCAAAGCCCCTTTCCCTTGTAACTGAACTGTTCTAATTATGCACATTTCCCTTTGCTGTATTCCTCAAGGTCTTGTCTCACCAAATGATGTAACTCTTGATTACAGCTCTTGTATTCAGCTTGTACGACGAGACTGAAATACTCCTGAACACCTTGATGACAAGTACATGGATTTGCCTGGCAAAACAATAACCACGCTAAAGCTCTTTTAACATCCTGGTTCCTTTGCTGAAAGCATCTGCCTATACTGTCAATTCATCCTGTGCCTCTTGGGTGCCTGACTTCAGCATAAGCATGCAAGTCCTATAAACGAATCCATGCCGCTGGGGGTAGCACTTACAGTAGAAGAGGATCGTCTCATGAGTGATAAGGGTGACAGAAGTGCAAAGCAGAGCTGAGTGGATCTGGCACTCACATTGTGAACAACACAGAATCCGTACGGGAAGATTTTCCCACAGAATGACATGCAATAATTTATTCTAAGCCCTTCCAACTTGTGTGTGGTGATGTTTTGTGTTTTTTTTATTTGGATTTTTTTTTTCTTCCCCTCCTCTGTGAAGTTTCTATCTTCTGCAGCTCTTCTCTAAATAACTATTTAAGATGCCACTGCTAAAATGAAATACATAGTTTGAAGGAAAACGAACCCTTCTGACCAAGTAAATAATTGCTAGTCAACGCTATCCCTACATAACTACATTCTACAAAAGAATATCACTGAGAAACAAAGGATGAGGTTTTTTTGCTAAAACACAATGGTATAATGTAAAGGTTAAAAAGACCCCATTTTCAACCAGTGGTTATAAATACACAATTAAAATAAAAATATGTCTCACAAAGTTTTAAGCAGGAAATGCTGTTTTCTCAATGACAGCCCTGCACTGAGTATTTCAACTTCCTAAAGGTCATGGTGTGAAGGACTTCCAGATCCCCCAATGTTGTGCAGCACAGAGGAGCAGAAAAACTCTCATCCTGAGCCAGACGGGTTTCCCAACACATCCACTGTAATGTCTCCAGCACCAGCCACCACCAGATGTTCCAGCAGATGCCAGAGAGGATGAAATCAAGGTGGCTGTGGGGTACTCCTTGTCTTCTGGAGGAGATCAAACATGTTCTAACCACGTGTGACCTGGAACCAGATAGGTACAGGCACTGTGCCATCACTACTGAGAGCCGTAAATTGCAATGGGACATCCTCCCATGTTCTGCTGCCCTGACCAAAACTTCTGCTGGAACAAGCAGAATCCACTCGTCTCAGGGTTTGAAGCCATAGAGCAAAAGTCTGAAGACTTCCTGGACACCTACAGATATAATTTTGTCTTTCTCCCAACTTTTCTTATTTCCCCCTCCCTCATAAGTCCTCCCCCTGTTGCTGCTTAGCTGCATTGTTCAGCAATTTCGTAAAAACAACTAAAATCTAAAAAAACCCCCACATATTGCTACACTTACCTGATACAGAAAGCCCATGGATACAATTTACATATTTTACAAAGATCTGTACCAGCCTTTTGAAACTTCCATTCCATTAAAATGCAATCAAGAAAAGGCAACAAAAAACCTGTATCTTTCCCCAGGAAACTTTGCTAAGCCTCAAGCCTGTGTTCACATGTCCATGAGATGTGATCCTCTTGCAGCCTGTTCCCCAGATGCTCGTGGTTAGTGCAGAAGAGACAGGGAGTCCAATCCTGCTTTTCAAAACATTTTTGCTTCACTCTCAGGCACCTTCTGCCTTCAGCAGCCTGGGCAGAGACTGGCTGTTAAGCATGCTCCTTTAGACGAAAACTCCCCACCCCAAAAAAGCATTGAAAGGAGGTAAGCACTCAAAATTAGTCAGTTCATTTAGTCTTGAATTTCCTAGGCAGCAACCTCAAAATATAAGCACAGCCTTCAAAACACGAGCTTGGAATGTCGACTAAAGGTCACAATTTTATTATTTTTAAACCAGCTAAATGTCTTAAAATGTCCAAATGGAAAAGAAAGAGTAATGATGTTGCAGTTTGAACTATTTAACAAGTCTTAAATATGAAAATTCTGTAGAAGAAGGAAATCCATGTGGTGAATGACCAGCTCTCACCTTGGTATAGAGCAGTGGGAAAGGAGAAGAACTTTTAAGAAAAATACTACAATACCTGCAATAATTGGTGGATTTGAAAGGTGAGATTATGAGAGATAACAGTGCATCACAGATATCTGGTGCAGATTTAGCAGACAGAGTCTCCAGGTGGTAATTCTCACAGCACACAACTACAGCACCATAAAAATCACACACAAATATATATATATATATATATATATATATATATATATATACATATACATCAAACAGATTTTTGAAAATTACCATAATTAACAAATAGGAGGAAACACAACAAAACTGGTTTGAGAAAAACTTGTGAGGTGCTGAGCAGGTCTGTTCCATCAGATATCTGTGGTGCTCCCAGGGCAGGAGCACGTGAAGCATTGCTCTGAGCATATGCAGATCTTTGTGAGACTGTCCTGACAGATTTCTGTAATACATACGTTATTTAAAACCACTTTCATTTAAAAGTTCAGTTTTTGTAAGCACATCAAAGCTTTGCAAATGTAGATTTATTTCTTTTAAAAGTGCATATTAATAATATTGATATAATTATCACTATTCATATTTGAAGACTCACAAATACAAATTTTTCAAAGATTACTTGAAATTCAAAATGGGGAGTAAAGAGATCCATAATTTAGCGGGTAGAAGTGGGAGTCAAGTTTTCTGGAGCCTAATTTTCCCAGTGTTTAAATATTGCAGAGAATCAATGCAAAGCTCTGAAATGAACTTTGGAAAAATTGTTCATTCCCTTTACTACACTTATCCAATACATAAACTCAATAGGCTAAAATTCATCTACTTTACAAAGATTTGGTGCAGCTTAATAGAGTGCTTTGAGATCTTGTGATGAAAGAGTGAACCCAAGTACAAAGTAATATAATGAAGATAGCACCATTAATTAGAATTATTAAAATTCATACACTAAAATCTATAATCTAAGCAGAAGGGACCAAGTTATTCATGGGTGTTTAAAATAAAGAAGACCATTAAGAATACTAATTTTGACAATTGAACCCAGCATACCAAAACTGTCCCTTTTGTTCTGTTTAATCTTTGGGGAACAGATAAGTTCACACAGAAAGGAACAGTGAGCTGCTGTGTCTGTAGTTTTTGATTTGGTTTTTAAGATGGTCAGATAGTACTCAACAGCAAGTGCTAAAGAAAACTATTCTTTTCTGGAGCAACCAATGGTGCAATGGGGTAAAAGACAATTTTTTATTTAATTTAAAAGATGGAGAGCAACACTCCAGCTGTCACAGGAGGTGGCTGAGCAAGGAGATGGTTGGATGGGGCTCTGAGCAATCTGGTTTAGTGGAAGATGGCCCTGCCTATGGCAGGGGTGAAATGAGATGATCTTTAACCCAAACCATTCTGTGAATATACAGATGCCAGTGAGGGCTGCAGTCCATGCACAACCCAGCTCTTTGTGCCTCAGTTTTCAGATTTCAACCCTTCCTGCTAATACCCTCAAGAGAAAAAACCCAGAGAGACTCCACATGCAGTTTGCCTAAGCCACACCTTGGCTGGAGAGATGAAGAACTGCCATGACTGTGTCCCTCTGTGTCCCATCCTGCCATCTCCATCCAGCCAACCTTGCTTTGGCAGACAAACTTAGGCATGCAAACCTCTGCTTGGAGGCAGCAGGATTGTCCAGCAGCACTGGTGTCCAAAATAAGCTACAACAATGGCCACATCAGATCTGCTGCCAGCCTGGGGACTGTGACTAACTTGTGCATACATTTACATAAGTTATATAAAAATGAATGTATAAAGTTATATTTATCTGTACTTGTATCTTCTTTGATATGAGTGGATGTTGCTTGTCCACCCACAGTAAAAACTTACAATATTGTAGGCTTATAAATACAGAAAGCAGGAGAGCAAATTACAACAGATTTCTCCAAGGTTACACTTCAGATGTTCTTCAAGGGACTAGAGTTGTGGACAGCAGTGAGGGCTTGTAGCTCATCAAGAAACTGGCTACCAATGTGGCACCATTTCCAGTG